AAACCTATTAATATAGTTCCTTCCTGTAATTGTAGCTACTGTGATATAAATAAATATCAGAATAAACTTATTGCTGTGTTTAATGCATATTTTGATTTCTTTGTTTTTATTTTTCAGTGAATTGACAATCCCAACTGTAGTTGTACTGAATACTTCAAACCAACAATACTTTTTGCTAGATAGACAGATTAAGAATGCCGAAGACATGGTCCAATTCATTAATAACATTTTGGATGGCACAGTAGAAGTATGTTGTTCACTTTCATTTCAGAGGGGTCACGGGGTGAAGTGGAGGAGAAACACTCTTAATCATCACAAAGTAGGAATTTCATGTTTGTGAAAATATAATTTTGTTGAAATGAAACTTGTAGGAGTGAGAACCCTTCTGTTTGTAAGTTAGTGAAACCCAACTCAAACTATTTAACAACAAAGAGATTTTATTGGCCTATAGAACTTTGAAATTCAGGGAATGAACCAGATTTCAGGGATGGATGAATTCAGGGATTTGATTGATTTTTATCAGGAATTTTTCCCTCTCTGCTTATTAGCACTTTCTTATTGAGCTTCTTCCTCAGGGAGACTCTCCCTACACAATAACAAAGATATCCTGCTGCAGCTCTAGTTTGGTAATCTCAGCTAAATTAAAAAATTAGGCAGGCCTAGACTTGGGGTAGGTCAGCTTTAGCCAAGCTGCATGGATTATGAATACAGGAGGATGACTTCTTCAGAGCAGAGTCGGGGTGTGTTAACACAAGAAGGCAAAAGGAATACAGGACAGGAAAACATCAGTAAATGTTTTACTATACAGCCTACAGTTGAATTACTTAATAATTTGGAGTCAACCCTTTGACCTGCAATTGTAAGATTATGTAACATAGGAAAGCATGTAAATAACAATTTAACTTTTTTTCCTGTTAAATTGAAGGCCCAAGGAGGTGATAGCATTTTGCAGAGATTGAAAAGAATAGTATTTGATGCCAAATCTACGATTGTGGTAAGTTGTGACAGTTTGTTTTGTGCCATTGGTAATTAAGAATGTACAGGGTCTTTATGTCTAACTGTGGTAAAATCTGAATTTCAAGGATTAGGTCAAAATACGTCTTTTTAATTTGCATGGTATGAACTAGTCAGTATTTACATTAGGAAAATATTTCCATCAGATGGAAATTAAGTTTCTGTAATTATTCATTTTTTTATGATTGGTGAGTTAATTGAAATTCAGAATCAATTAACTTGATGGTATGACTTAAAGATTTTCTTGAAACTACTATGTAAAGTTCTTACTTAATAATTTCATGAAAGCATAGATAATATGAAATTTTTAGTTCTACTAAGTGCCTCTTCTTTCTGGAATTAGTCATTTCTGTTGAAGAAAATGGTGTGTCTTGGGAAGTCATTCCTTTTTATTTTTATTTTTGCAGTAGTCAAAATAGTCTATCTTAACGTTTTAAACATCTCTGTTAATTCTGTGCTACCCATAAGTTGATAAATAATTGGAATCATTTATAGATGTTTTTCCTTCCTTCTTCCTGCCTTCTCTCCTTCCCTTTTTTTTTCTTTCTTTCATTCTTTCTTTAAAAAGCAGACATTAAATGTAGAATTAAAATGTGATAGGTCAAATCCTTTCCAACAGTAGTTTTTTTTTTTTAATTTGTTCATCCCAGTCTGCATCTGCAGATGTCA